CGCTTTGTGCTTACTATTATAGACAGTGAGTGACGCAGACGTGTATGACATGGTGCATGACAAATGGCTTTTTCAGAGTTTATTGTTTACGTATGATACACAAAACAGAGCAGAAACTTTTGAAAGACGTACACCCATGTCTATTTTTAATTTACTTGTACTGAAATTTGTACCTAGACATAGGTGCAAATTTGACCATAGAAACCCAAAACCAGTAGTTTTATGAATCACTGTTAATCTACATTCAGTAGTAGCTGTAGCCGACATTCACCTGTGTTTTAATGTCAAATATTGCCAGATTTAAGTGATAAGATTATTGACTGCTTCTGACAACAAACATGATTCGGTGTTAAGGTGACGTCTCGCCACTGTGTAGTACGTGTTCTGTTCCAAGGCCTGAGTATGTGCAAGGAATGTTTTTTTATTTTTGGACCACCGATCTTGATAAACTATATATAATGTATTCAATTTGTTCAGTTATATGCTCCATTAAACATACATGTATACTGTAATAGTCCATATAAACTATATTTATATCAATGTTTTATTTCCTTATTCTGGTTTCCTATAATATTACCACTTTGAGTGCCAGATATTTTTCCCGCCAAAAATTTGGTCAAAAATTTGTAGATTTTGTAAAATGTTTTTTAAATATCATCATCATTTTGGACCATACAGAAAGTTTCACATATTGATTTTAGTTTCGATCAAAAAGTTTGTCAATTTTTATCAACATTTCTTGGAGGGGAGGGGGGCAGACTACACAAAATTATTTTGTAGATGGTGCTAAAAGTTGACGCTCATTAAATGGCCACGAAACAAACTGATGTATCCTGCAAAAGTTGCCTTGATAATAATTTTTCATTGTCTAAAAGTGTGTACGAAAAATATAACAGAAACAAAGACCTTTCCGCTTTCCGCATGACTGATTTGCTACTTATGTCGGTAATCACTTGGCAAGACAACATTTCCAGCTAGGGTAGTTTTATCTGACATCCACAATTGCTTGTGAAATCCTGTCTGTTTATTTTTATTTAATATGCGAGTGACCTGTTTCACTCGTGATTGGTTGTGTTTATATGTTTCCATTCTTATTGCAATTGTTGATGGATATTGCAAGTCTCCTTGGTTACCGCCCAGAATTTGTATAGAAATAACTAAGCATAGAAAAATAAACATAGAAGCAAATGTCAGCTGCTTTAATACATTATTCAAAAGTTTTTCATCTAATTACAAAAGTTGTCCTTAGATGCCCTTTGGCATCTCTGATAGCCATCTCTCCTCCTTGATAAGAGTAGCCTTGGTGTCCAGGAGACCAATGCTGCTTCCTTCCGGACTAAGATTTAACATCTTTAGTTTAACATGTCTATCTGCTGCCTGGCATTCTGAAGATATTGTTTAGTATATCTACCAGGGGTTATTGACCTCTGATGTCAAATATTTGCTCCTTATAATGTAATAATTGGTTTTTGTGCATTTCACTTTTGAGTTCAGTTCCAAAGACAAAATCTTCCACCTCACTCTAATGTAAATAAATGCCAGAAAATCAGAATCATAAATTTTATTTACACAAGAAATACTTTTCAACTGAGCTGGTTTTATTATTAAAAATTGTTATGCATTTATAATTCCATCTATTCTGCATGGCGTCACCTGCGCACGTGCGGGAATTGAGTCCCAAGCGACGATAACAACAAACACTAATAACGTAAAGGCTCATGGGTAGACACTTGTTTGTAAACAATGACACGCTATGGCCATCTGACGCATGCGCAGGTGACGACTCCCCCGCTTTAATGATTTGTTCAACTGTAATCTAAGTTAATCTAATCTTATTATTATTATTCAAGTATTGTTATACAATCACTTGTAATTCTATCTTTTTCGAATGTTGGTTATTTTTAACGATTTGTTGAGTATAACAAATTGACATATCCGTGCATGTTAATATCATTAAGATTATGTATGGCTGTTCGTATGTGATGGAATTTCATGAGTAAATTTAGACTTCGGCTCAACTCGTAGCCTTGAGTTATCCATCCACATGTACTTTAATGGCATATTTGTGACATGGTTTATCTGGAAAGATTTCCTGAACATAATCAGATTGTTTATCCAAACATTGGTGAGCGTTTTGAAATTTGTTTTTCTTGCAATGTGTGTATTGCAGCTACTGTTTCATTTCTTCATTTATATCTATCTCCGGCTGTATATCCGGCACCAGGGTTAAATCCCTCATACAAGTGTATGCCTCTACTTGTAGCTGTCCAGTGCATCTTTCATTGTCTGCTCTGTCGCTCTCGTATCCCTTCCTGCAGCGAATTTCTTAAACGATCCTTGTTTTTGTGAGTGAACTATAACTTCAATTTATTCTTATCACCTGATTCCTCCCCATTTCTATCACGGGTTACCTATTTGATGACAGAATGGGTTGAAGAAAAATAATGTTGTGGGAGGTGTTTATACCTATAATGATAATTTAATGTAAAATAACTAAGGATGGGGGTGTTTATTGGTGAAAAAATATTTCACTGTTTTTTCTTCACTAAAAATCTGAACTGAACATATAAAAAAAAATCACTGGATATAGAGGCTGACCATTAGAAACCCTGGAAGGAGAGTTGATCAAAAAGCTGTTGATTTGGTTTTCCTGCGTTCGTATATTATCATTATCATTGAATATTTTGTCTCTGTTCAGTTTCATTACTGAATGGAACCCTCCCCCCTCAGAATTCCAATGGTCAACCCCTTAAACGTCAGGACATTGACATATGTATGTATTAAAAACAAATAAATCATATCTATTATTTGTTTGCAAACTACATGTACATTGAAAGCTTGTCTTGATAACAATTATGCTTCATTTGACTTAAGTGATTTGATGATGTAGGATTGTTAATGATTTGATTTGATTAGATTTGATTTGAAACATTTAATTCTGACTTGTTATAATTAAACTGGCGTTTGAGGTTTCAAGTACATGTGTTGTTTCAGTGCTGCTATCAGTTCATGCCAGGCTAACACATGCAACTGTGTGACGTGTCAAAGGTCAATGTGCACAGCTGTGATCTTGATGTTGTCTTTTCCTAGCTTG